TTAAAAAAAATAGATGTATGTATGCGTGTATGTGTGTGCGCATGTGTGTGTGAGTGTATGTGTGTTCGGATACAAATTTTCGTCGACGATTTCGGGAACACGGATGAAGCGATTTGAATAATTCAAAAAGCATTCGATTCGTATTGATAAGGAGACGTGCTGATTAGTTTTTGGCGAAGGCAAGTCTAGCCGTTCCGAAGAAATGGGGCAACAAGTGCCAAAAACGGTAACTCAGTTTTTAAGAGAACGGAGCATCCGATTTGAATAATTCAAAAAACATTTTACTTGTATTAACAAGATGAAGAACTGATCAAATTTTCATAAAGGCAAATCTTAGACGGCATCTCGTTAGACGGCGGCGCAGCGCTCACGCGATTCGATATTTCGTCTCTATGCAGTTAAAGCAGTACTATTGCCTTGAAAAAAAGTTCAGAATTTCCAAAATATTTCAAAATACACTTTTCTTCAGAAAGTCTTTTTCCAAAAAAAAGTAAATTTCTGTCAAAAATTTATAGTTTCTCAAAAATCTAATTTTTCAGAGTAAACTTTTTTCAAAAATATTAATCTTTAAAAAAGAAAAAAAATGGTACGGGAAGTTTCAGCGATTTGCCTTAAGGCACGATGCCATGCGCCCCACTAGTTGCAATTAATATAAAAAAAAATAAGTTTTATATATTTTCAGTTCCACCTAAATTATAATATCAGATTCATTATGGTAAGGTTTTAATTGGAAATTTACTAATTCAGAAATGGCGTCGTCCCTAGACAATATTCGAATACCCCGTGTTCATGGCGTCGTCAAACTTGTCATTTCCATGCTAATGGTGTACTCTTCATTCTTTATTATTATTTTGTCTAAGATTGCAAGTGCCATCCTAATTTGAAACTGTTTCATTTAAGTTGAATTGGAATATTTTGTAATTTAACATTTTTATACATTACTATCAGTGCCTAGTCATCCGTTGCTGTATTTTGCATATAAATTTAAACAAAAATCAGATTTTGTTACAACTATAAAAATGAAAAATAGCGCTTAAATCATTCACATAAAACATATGGAACAACCACCTATTAAAATATGTTCACAAAATTTTCCAGTTATTGCCTAAATATAGAAATATGTTAGTCGCTATTTTTTCTGGAAATTTTCTTCACTCTCGTTTCAAATTAAAAACGTAAAGTTTCTACGCGGATTTCAAATAATATCTCACCTTTCCCACAACCTCTAGATTAACAACAATATTTCTAGACTAAGATAGGTCAAATCTGATCAGCATTTTTAGAGTTTTAGCATACCTAACATAATACTGAGCTCTATTTTTATATGTAAGAAAATATATTAAGTTTAAAAATCAGGAGATACATCAAAAAATTGTATGAATCATCTACAAATTTATTTTAAATCCATACCATTCGATGAAATATAACATTCCTTGACATCAAATTGGAGATCTATAATTTCAGATGAATATCCGATATCACAACTGCTGACCGAGGTAAGTATTTGTAATCGAACCTGGAACCAATGGTTGCTAATCTAGACTTAGTGATTAAAATTAAAATATAAATGAAAAATTATAAAAAAATATCGAAATTATGTAGTGTTTACTGTACCTATATTTCATACTATTTATACATATGATTACATGCAAGAAAAGTTTACAACATGTTTCCAAATATTTAAATTTAAGTAAACAAATATGCTTATTGTTCATTGATTTTTACCACACTTCTGACTATGAAGTGCCATGTGTCTTTTTAAATAATTCAATTGACTATATTCCTTATTACATACTTCTTCACATTTATAAGGACACTCTTGTTTATGAATCACCATGTGCATTTTCAGAAAACCTAAACGTGTAAATGTCTTATATCATATATTGCATTCATGCGGGCGTACTTCGCCGTGTGTCAGCATGTGAATTTTCAGATTATTTAATCCTGTGAATGTCTTTTTGCATATGTTGCATTCATGGGTACGTGCTCCAATGTGTGTCAGAACGTGACTCTTCAGACTGCTTGATCTCGTTAATGTTCTTTTTTTCATATATTGCATGCATGGGGGCGTACATTATGAATGATCATGTGTTTTTTCAGATTACCTAATAGTGTGAATGTCTTATTGCATATACTGCATCGATGGGGTCGCTCACCACTGTGAATAAGCATGTGGCTTTTCAGATTACCTAATTGTGTGAATGTCTTATTGCATATACTGCATCGATGGGGTTGCTCACCACTGTGAATAAGCCTGTGTTTTTTCAGATTACCTAATAGTGTGAATGTCTTATTGCATATACTGCATCGATGGGGTCGATCACCACTGTGAATAAGCATGTGACTATTCAGATTACATAATTGTGTGAATGTCTTATTGCATATACTGCATCGATGGGGTTGCTCACCACTGTGAATAAGCATGTGACTTTTCAGATTACATAAATGTGTGAATGTCTTATTGCATATACTGCATCGATGGGGTTGTTCACCACTGTGAATAAGCATGTGACTTCTCAGATTAAATAAATGTGTGAATGTCTTATTGCATATATTGCATGCATGGGGGCGTACTCCATTATGAATGAGCAGGTGTTTTGTTAGATCACCTGTTCGCATGAATGCCTTTTTGCATATATTGCATCGATGGGGTCGCTCACCACTGTGAATAAGCATGTGTTTTTTCAGATTACCGCTTTCTGTAAATGTTTTTTTGCATATATTGCATTCATGGAGGCGTAGTACTCCAATATGAACGAGCATGTGCCTTTTCAGATAATTTATTGTTTTGAATGTTTTTTTGCACGTACTGCATTCATGGACGCACTCACCACTGTGAGTGAGCTTGTGCCTTTTCAGATTACCTAATAGACTGAAAGTCTTATGACAGATTTCGCATTTGAAAGGACTTTCTTTGCTATTATTAGGAATGTGATCGGCCATATGCTCTTTTAAATGATCTGATTCTGCAAATGATCTATTGCAAAGGTCACATTCATAATTTGTTGTCTCAACTAACTCCTGTTTCACTTCTTCTTCAATTGTCACCTCGGAGTTCATGAATCTTTCTAAACACGTATCATCATCTTCGGAAAACGATTCAGATTTAACAATAACGTCGGGATCATCAAAATCATCCTCTATTTCGAGTTTAATGTTTTCTGGTGAATATTCAGGTGGTTCAATTTTAATTGTCTGAGCATTTATAGCTTCCTTCGACATTTTTAAATATTTTCACTACTTATACTCACAAAAAAGAATTACGAAAATAGTTGTGGGCTAAATAATAATCTAGATTTATCAATATTTTTTTTCAATTTGATAAATAATTTCAACTTTTACATTTATTATTTGACATTTGAAGCGTAGAGTTTATTTGTAGTAGTGAGTAGAGAGAGTAGAAACATATTCGCTATTTGTGAAGCATAGATAAACAAGTATGAATAGATGGTATACACCATAGGTGGGGAACCTGCGGCCTCGAGGCTGCATGCGGTCTCCGGGAGGTTCTTGTGCGGCCCCTTGCCGTCTAGTACAAAATAGCAGAGTTACTTTGGTTACTTTCAAACAACTATTGTACATCAACGTCATGACAGTTTCGCGAAAAATCCCACCAAAAACAGTCATATTGTAACATGACATCAGATTATTATATTATTATATTAATATTATTTAATATAAGCAATATTTTCGATTTCGCAAGACATCGCCTATTATATGATTCAAGAAGTATTATAGAAAAAATTAACAGTGCAAAAGAATCGTTAGCACCCGGGTTGAAGATTTTTATGCGTATCCGTAATGAAATGATAAAAATTTATACTTCTCGCAACCGAAAGCAAATCCGCAGCTTTGGCGGAGATCGGAGCAACCAGATTTTACCTAAGTATATTGGCAATTTTATGAGATCATAGTTATAAAATGATACAAACCTTACCTTTTTTCATAAAATACAAAAATATATTTTTAAAAACTGCTCTAGGCAAAATATGTGTCCGTATTTATATGCACATGATATATAGAATTTATTTATATTTAAATCTTGAAATATAAATATAGAGTAAGGTATTTGAAATGAGAACAACTCAAATGCAAAATATAAATTAACAATACATTTTGTGTACAATAAGTACATATTTTAATTAAAATCAAATAATACGCTTATTTTCATGGGTAAATATTATTATTCTCTAAATGGAGTAGGTACATCATTTATTAATAATATTTTTTAAATTTAATTCTTAAATGTTGTCAATAGTGTCTAGGTATATTTTTTTTGGAAAGAGGTAATGTTGCGTTTAATGCATTAATCATTTTTTTGTTATGATAACTATTCACAAATGACAACAAGCAAGAATATTCATACCGAAAGTTCACAAATGAATTTATCTATGGTAACCCATAGATAAATAACTATAATGACAGTATTTACATTTATAATAATCTAATTGAAAACATTTGATATTCCTCGCCTCGAACCATTGTTATCTTCTGCGCGATCAACATGCATATACAATCAAATTCATAGATAATTAAGCTTGATAAATTATTCGTTCAAAACAAGAAAAAAACCGAATATCAAAGATTTTTTTCTTATCGTTAGCGTTTTGTGCGAAAGAATATTCCAAGTTATAGAGTTTGTACGTATTTTATGTGAAAGTGTTAATAATTATAAAATTATGAATCAAGGTAATTATAAAAATAATAATAAAAATATTGTTATATAAATATAAATATATATATATATATATATATATATATATATACCCAGTAAGCACGTGATGTTGTAGCAATATTCTATATAAATCCCTGCCAACATCCCCGCTGTGACAATAAACCAACGTGGTTTTGATGTTCGTTTAAAATTGCAATTGTGACATACCGATCGGTCGTTTTTTGTGAAGGATGTCAAAAGCTATATTTATATTGAGAGAGAACCGTTACATTAAATTATCTTATATTTTAGAAACTTTAATAATAAGTATACAATTTGTTAACATTTCTAAAGTTTATCCGTTTTACTGCGGCGCGGCGCTTACGCGCTTCGGTATTTTTTCTCTGAAATAGCCGCGTAGCATGATTGCTTTGAAAAAATTCCAAATTTAAAAAAAAAAATTCGAGACAAAAAATATCAAATTTTTCAAAAAAGTCAATTTTTTTTTAAAAAATTCTCAAAAATCTCATTTTTTCAAAAATTTTTTTTAAAAAACAAATCAAATAAAAATCGAAATTACGAACTAAATATTTTGATCTCTGTTAAAATTATTAACTTCCCGTAGGGCAAGTTATAGTAATCGCAAAAAAATCGAAAATGAAAATTTTTATATATCTTTACGTTTCAGAGATTTCTGAACATTTTGGCATACCTTAGAAAAAATGGATGTATGTGTGTGTGTGTGTGTGTGTGTGTGTGTGTGTGTGTGTGTGTATGTATGTACGTGTGTGTATGTATGTGCGTATACAAATTTTCGTCGACGATTTCGGGAACTCGGATCAACCGATTTGAATAATTAAAAAAACATTCGATTTGTATTGATAAGGAGACGTGCTGATTAGTTTTTGGCGAAGGCAGGTCTAGCCGTTCCGAAGATACGGGGCGAAAAGTGCCGAAAACGGTAACTCAGTTTTTGAGAGAACGGAGCGTCCGATTTAAATAATTCAAAAAACATTTCACTTGTATTGACATGATGAAGAATCGATAAAATTTTCATAAAGGTAGGTCTAGTGGTTTAGGAGATATGGAGAAAAAAGTAAAAAAATTAGCCATTTGGCGGTCAAAAATGATCATTAGACATATCCACATCAAATTATCAGATATTTTATAGAGATTTTAACAATAAGTATACATTTTGTTAACATTCCTATGGGTTCCGTACCAATGCTTATGCGTTAGACAGCGACGCGGCGCTTACGCGCTTTATATTTTGTCCCTATGCAGTTAAATCAGTACGATTGCTTTGAAAAAAAAGTTCAGATCTTTCACAATATGTCAAAATAAAGAAAAAAAATTTTTTTTTCAAAAAAAAAAATTAAAAAAAAAAATATTTTTTTTTAATTTTTTTTTTTCAAAAAAAAGTAATTTTTTGTCCATATATATAGTTTCTCAAAAATCTTATTTTTTCAAAGTACATTTTTTTTAAAAATGTTAATCGTTTTTAAAAAATTAATAATTTTTGGTACGGGAAGTTCCAGCAATTTGCCTTAAGGCACGATGCCTTAATTGCCTTAAGACAGAATTCCACTTACAGCTAGTTTTAATTTAATAAATGTTCAAGTATAAATAAATAAAAAAAAAACAAGTATTGCTCGAAATGCTTCTACTGATGGCGCAAGGTTTGAATAGAAATGCTCAAAAATAATTTTTTATCCGCAAATATATATTTTTAACTTCCCGTATGGTAAGTTATTGTCATGGGCCGAAAATCGGAATTGAAAATTTTTACATTTCTCGACGTTTTGAAGGTTTCTGAACATTTTGGCATACCTCAGAAAAAATGGATGTGTGTGTGCGTGTGTGTGTATGTATGTATGGATACAAATTTCCAGTCACGTTTCCGGGCAAACGAATCAACCGATTTGAATGGTTCAAAAAGCATTCGATTCCTATCGATAGGGAAAAGAGCTGATTAGTTTTTGGCAAAGGCAGGTCCAGCCGTTTCGAGGATACGGAGCAAAGAGTGCAGAAAATAGAAATCGACTTTTTGAGAGAACGGAGTATCCGATTTCAATGATCTAAAAACATTCAATTAGTAATGATTGGGAGAAGTGTTTATTAGTTTTTGACAAAGGCAGGCCCAGCCATTTCGAAGATACGGAGCTAAATATGTAAAAAATGGCAGTTTTTGAGAGAACTAAGCGTCCGATTTGAATGATTCAAAGAACTTTCTGCTTGTCTTAACAAAATAATTGATTTTGGAAAAAAAAGTTTTTTTGTTTCATTTTTTTTTTTATAATTTTTTGTAAATAATTCAGATTTTATTTTTAATTCTGACTATAGTTCTAATATACTTTAAACAAATAATTTCAACTTTGCAATTCAGTTTATATAATTCTTATAAATATTAGACAATGTTACAATATTTATAATAATCTATTTGAAAACATTCAGTATTCCTCGAACATTTCGTTATGGTACGGGAAGTTCCAGCAATTTGCCTTAAGGCACGATGCCACCCACCCCACTAGTTAATAATCTAATCATAAACAAAATATTTATCAAAAGATGCTTTGTTCTAATTCTATTTGTTGTTTGGAATAAATATCAAATATTAAATGAATAACTTGTGAATTTTGTGAATTTGTTATGTGGTAACACTACTGTGGTACAGGAACAGTAGGATTATCTAGGATTAAAGATGGCCGGTTGTCAACAAAGGGTGTTTGTGCTTTATCTTGTTAGTAAACTTAGCATTGAAATAAAATGGAAAAGTAAGTACATCATATATATAACTATATTAATTTATCTATATTAATTTATTTAACGTTTACTTAACTTGATATTTGTATGGTATTATGAAAGATACATGAACGATGCGTCAAATGAAGAGGTTAGCAATAGCACGCCGCTGTATTGTCATAGCAAAATGATACTGAAGATATAAATCCAGTCAATTTTACAAGATCAAACACATGATGATATTTGGGATCGTTTCGTGAAGATTGATGGTTCAAAATAATGCATTCGGAGTTAATCCCGCTTGTTAAATTTGTGGATAAATTACAGTCACTGAAGATGGGGACTAGTCTTGAATTTGTAAGTCTCTTGTACTATATGTATATATATATATATATATATATATATATATAACATTTTCTAATAGATACATATTAGGTTCATTCTTTTAGAAAATCTTCACGTATAATGAAGTGCGATGAAACGGTAGTGAGATGAGACAAGTCATATACTTTTTTGCCCTAGGAGCAGATGGCAGATCTTAGAAGTTATTTTAGTCAAGCCAATATTTGAGGAGTACAATTGTAAATAGGTCAAGACTAGAGAATGATATAGATTCAGAAATTATATCTGTTCCATGTACAGTAGAAACTCGTTTACCCGGCTTTCGGTTATGCAAACTACAAACTACAAGCAATTTATATATACATGCAAGTATTCAACTTGCACATACACACAAGTTTATAGGATTTTAGTATATGTATGTAATGTAATCTAAGAAAATATATATGTACATTCGAAAGAAAGTGTTTCTTAATAAACACTATTT